ACAATCCGCTTGCCCGTGTGCCAAATGCGTCCAATGTATTTGATTCGCTGAATGGCAATGATGGCCAGGGCCACAGTCCTAAAAAAAAAGGAAATCATTAAAACCCATATCTATATTTCCACCGAATCCAAATACTTACTTGAACTTCTTCTTAATATTTCGCTGGGTTGGCTGTGCACCTCGCAGATTCTGCAGTGCCAACTGCTCACTGGCCTGATAGCCCTCCAAAGTGAGCTTCAGATACCTCTTCTGGTAGACCAGCGCCTTGCGGTGCGACTCCACCCGCAAATATCGACCGATTAGCTGCCGGCAGCGCTCCTCCAGCTCAGTGACATTGGTGTTGCCAGCGCCACCCAACTCCTCGCACTTCTTTTGCAGGGCAATTCGCTCACCCACCAAAAACTGGACGGTCTCGGCCATCTGCCGGTTCTCCTGGGTATTCTCCGCCAGCAGCGTGTTGATCTCCTTCATCTTCTGCAGAAACTGTGCCGGCACATTGTCATCGGTGCTGTGGGCCAATCGATCATTGGCCTGCGCCAAGGCCTCAGCTAGCTTAGCTTCCCTCTGACCGGAGCGACTCACATCGAAGCGGAGCTGGGTTACCTTTTGTTCGAGGCAATCCCTAGCTGCCTCAGCGTTTAACAGCTTGGACTTAAGTTCATGGATCTCGGCCTGGAGTTTCACGTTCTCCTGGTGCTGGCGGGTGCGTGTGTTGGCCCTTCGCGTCTCCGCCTCCTGGAGCGTGACTAGCCTGGCCTCCAAGCTCTCAATCTCGCCGGCTTGCAGGGTCAGGCGTTCATTGAAGTGCTCTAACTCCGATTCAGCAGAGTCCTTGTCGCGTGCTAACTTCTCCATCTCCTGTTTAAGACGTTCGCAGTAGGCCACTCGCTCCTGCAGCTCCTTTTCATACCGCTGACGTTCCCGCTCACTGCTCCGCTGAGCATCCGCTGATCTCTCCCTTTCCCGCTCATTCTGAGCAGCCAACAGTTTAATTTCACTGCGCAGACGATCTCCGAGTTCAGATTCAAAATCAGCTCTTGGGGATTTCCTGGGTGAGTCGCCCGGTGACTTGAGCAGCAGAGAACTATTCCTTCGACTCTCCGCTCGCTGAAGGGAAGTCAACTGGGTTTGAAGACGCTCGCAGCGTTCGCGTTCCTGATCCAACTGCTTGTGAAGCTCGTCCTCTGCATCCAGAGCAGTCTCTAGGCGTTTCCTCATGGCTTCTATTATGATAACATCCTGCTCTTGAATGTCCTGCGAGTGCTGCTTCTCACCCAGGAGTTCCTTGCTCAATGCCTCGCACTGTTCACGTTCCACTGCCAACTGAGCACGAAGGGCCTCTAATTGATTGAGTAGTTCCCGTTCGCCGGTGAAGTTCTCGTCGTCGGTTCCATTGCCCGTTCCTGGCAGAGTTTCCTCCTCCGTTTGCACTCCCTTCTGCTGCTTCTTGTCCAAATTATTCTCCTCCTCGCTTTCGATGGCTTTCAGGATATTGGAATCCAGCTGGGCGGAGTAGTTTAGTTCCTTTTCCACCTGTTGGGCAATCTCGTCCACCGAATACTGCTTCGAGCTGTTCTCACTGTTCTTCAAGCGCTCCAATTCTCGCTCTAATGTTAGGACCTGTAGCTCCAGATCTCCAATACGCCTGAGGGCAGCTTGTAGCTGATCAGCTTTAATCTTGACTTCGCTATTGAGGATTTCCAACTCCCGCTTACGAGCAGCTGCTGCATCTTCACATTGTTCATGGGCAGCACTAACGCAATTCAGTTCCTTGCGGAGATTCTCTCGATCGCTAGCTGCCTGGGCAGCTGTCTCCAGGATCTTGGACTCTAGGGTCTCAATACGTAGCCTATACTTGACTTCACTTTCCTCGTGGCTTTGCAGATTTTGAGCCTGACGACTTAGTTTCTCCTTCTCCTGCTGCAGTTCCTTTTGCAGAGCCTGCATCTTGATCTCCAATTCACTTTGCTGTGTCTGCTTTTCCGTTTCCAAATTGGAGAGCTTCAATCGCAATTGCTGGACTTCGGGAGGAGTCATGGGTCTTGGCATTTCCGGTGTACGCATCAGCAAGCTGGACGTCTTCACCTTTGAATCCTCTGTAAGATTGGAGAAGTTAATCTGCCTGGGCACCAGACCAGGGGTGAGGCCATCGCTGCTCTGGGCAGTCACTCCCAGGGCCTGGAAGTAGTGAGGATGCTCGAAGGTGTTAACTGGATAGGGGGCCATGAATCCGCTCAGGTCGTCGGTGCGCTTGTGCGTTAAATTGGCCACCGCCTCTTTAGAGGTTTCCTGTAAGAAAATAGTAACCATAATAAGTCTTTCTTTAAGGGCAAATGCAAAATCAGGCACTTAAATAAAGGGTAATCCTTATATCCTTATTAAAAGTGGACGGCACTCACCATTGTCTGGTGCAGGAAGACGCCCGCACCATCGCTCATCTGGAGGGGAGCGTTGATACTTCGCATGGCTGCTCGACGATCCACATCCGGCTCGGGGAACTCGGTAATCGATCCGATATCGCTGAGCGTACGGGCACTCAACTTGCCACCGCTACCTTCCTGCTTGCCTGCTGCTCCTGCCGGGGATGAGATGAGGCTGCCATCCTGATGAGCAGCCTGCAGTTCCTTCTCCTTGGCCTCCAGTTGATCGCGCAGGTGATCAATCTCATCGTTCTTGTCCGCCAGCATGGTCTCCATTAGATCCGGAACGGCCAGACGGTTGATCATCTCCGTGCGTATCTTATCCTTTAGTTTGGCAATCTCTGCTCCTCTCTGCTGCACTTCGGCCTGCAGTTTGTCCACCAGACTGCGATCGGGTTGGGTGCGCACCGTGACTTCCGCCTCCAGTCGCATTATTTCCTCCTTGCTGCGCTGAAGCTGCTGCCGCAGGGTGGCCATCTGTTTGTCCCGCGCAGACAGTTGCTCGCTGAGATTCTGGACTTCACCCTGGAGTTCATGGACTCGGGTATTCAAATCGGAGGTGCCGGCACGATGCAGTTGCTCCGCCCGCTGGCGCTGCTCCTCCAGGCGATTTTGGAGTGTCGATATCCGCTGGGTCTGCTCATCCATTCGACCCTGCAGGGAGTCCCGTTCATGTTGAAGTTCCTGTTAAAAAATAAAATCAATTTAGTTTATTATTTTAATAAAATGGAACTATATTTAATTTGGGAAGTTTCTATAATTCCTCTTAATAATAATAATTAAAGATCATCACATTTTTCTATAGATATAGTTGTAGGATTCTACTTGATCAAGTGGTTATTTCTGGTTGTCAGTTTGTTTTTCCTGATGATCGTGGGTGAGTCAATGGCCGACCATTTGACCGTTGGCTTCATCTGCATTTAACCCTTTCCAACTTCAATTAAAGTGAATATATGTATCTTATCTCTCTGCACCGTGGTTGTTATAGAGAAAATTGAAAACAATAAAAGTGAATTTTTAATAAAGCTTGAAGCGGAAAGTGATATAATTATATTTCACAACTTTCTTATCAAACTTAAACAAATTTGCTTTTATTTGAATGACAAGTTTCGTTTATTTAATGAATCATAATAGCAGAAAATGATATCTTTTTGGAAATTTTGGTTTAAAAAAATAAGAAATATAAGAAATTCAACTCGATTTATTGATTTTTATTTTTGTTTTTAGGTTTATTCTTCTTGCATTTAATAAGTGTTATTTAAAAACATTTTATGCAGATTGAATGTCGATAGATACGCAGTTTAAAATGAATCTTGCTAGTTAGAAATTCCCCCACTGTTCTCGGTATCTTTGCCTTTGTACTTGCATCTCTTTGCAGTTGTTTACTCGGTTTGATCCATTTATATTCATGCGGGTATGAATGCAGCTTCGCCAGCAATCTGCAGCCCCTTTTCAGCCATTCAATCTCCCCTTTTTCCAAACAACTCAGCGGGATGCGTGCCATAGCATAAAGATATTTATGGAGGCATTACCGCATATTAGTGCATCAATTGGGCCTCAGTGCGAGAATGCATATTGTAAACAAGCTGGGTTTGTGTTTTCCTTTTTTTTTGTTATGGCAAAAGATTCCGGAGTGACAAAAAGTGGGTGATGGAAATGTGGCAGGTGCCAGAGGCGCCAAACGATTTGTTTTACATTCGATTTTTTAAGTGGAATAAAAAAGAGGGCGGGGCACACCATATGCATCTATTTTTGAAGTGGAACAAACCGGGCATTTGAAAAAAGGAACAGGGAGCGATATATTTATGTGACAGCGTGTGCCAAATTCCCAAAACTTTTTGCCATAAATTACATATCTCAACCAGAACAATCGCACTCAATGGCCACAATGAATGGATGAAAAAACATTATGACAACTGGTGGCACAACAAATTAAATTATATATTTATTTATATTATGATTGCCTTCAGGGGAATTCATCAAAATAAATAAACATTCGCTGCGGCACATCAATTGTGGCACTCAGAAACCTTGATCGGATATTAAAAGCTCCAACTGAAAAACTCACTCGCAGCGGAATCTTTGGACCCTGAAACATTTCAGTAACTTCCGCAACTTGCAACCGAATTATTAGATCAATTTCAAAAAAATTATATATAAATATATCTGGTTAATATTCAGTTTGTGATCCAAAATTATTTATATAGATGCGAACATTTCTCCCGATTCAACCGTTCACAGTGCCATTCTGAAGGCAACTAAGAGATGCTTTCGATCGAGAAAACTAAGAGGGTATATCGTACGAAAATTCTTCTGAATGCTCAGTTGCCTGAGTGTGGAAAAACAAGAGAGAAAGCATCTAAATATACTTTGCGACCAACCGTTGAATTTCAAATTTTAACGATTTAGCAAAGACGCGCGCATAAACGATTCGAGTTCGAAAGTGGTGGGTGCACGGGATGATTCGCGCCAAAGCAGGTACACGAACCAGTTCAAACTAAATATTGCAAGTACGTTAAAATTAAAAAAAAATCAAATTAAAGATTTCTGAAGAGGAGAGATGAAACTTTAGCCGGAAAACAGAATGTAAAGTAAGCTGGTCGAATTGTTTCATACTAGCAATATTACTAAAACAGTTAGAACATACAAAACCTTAACTTCAATTATATACTTCAGCTAACAAAAATTTTGGTAAGTATTTTTTCATTTCCTATTAGTTTTTTAGTCATTTAACTTTATCAGCTCTCACAAAGAACTGGACGCTGCTGTCAAGATGAATCCGCAGTTCGAGACTATTGCAAAGACTTTCGTTGAACAATATTATAGTGCATATGATAATGAAATTAATCATAAGAATTTGCCCACGTTCTATAGCGAAACCGATTCGCTAATGACATTGGACGGACTACAGATAAAGGGAGCGAAAAAGATTCTAGAAAAATTAGACAGCCTGTGCATTAAGAAGATCGAACGGCAGATAACTTCTGTGGATGCACAGCCAACCCTTGATGGCTCAGTGCTGGTCCATGTTATTGGATCTATGTTGTGGGAAGGTATTATGCCCATCAACTTCTCACAAGTGTTTATCCTGAAGGCCTCTGGAAATCAGTTCTACATTGGTCATGACATTTTTCGAATTGTTATAACAAACAAAGAGTAATGGTTGTAAATGTATTTTAAATTTATCTATATATGCTAACATTATATTTTAAAAAATTCTGAAGCCGTCGAAAATCAAAAACGTCATTGGTGGTTTTTAATTATATAGGGTGGAGTTCATTCAATCTCAAAAGCATTAATAAAATTTCAAATGTCTTACATTTTTCATCTTTATAAGATTTTTTTTTACTTTTTTCGATGTACTTACCACGCAGCCGGCTCGCAATTGATGGACCTGCATTTCTAGGTCGCGAATCCGCTTGATGGCCGCCTCCTCCACGCGAGTGTGCCGGTCCAGCTTCTCGGTGACCCGCTGGACACCTTCCACGGTGAGCGATGTATGCGAGGGCGAACCCGCTGCCGTGGGCTCCTTACTGCCATGAATGGAGACATCTTCGGTGACACTCAAGCTGCCCGAACTGGAGACCGTGTTGGAGTTGTGCAGGGATTCCAGAATCTTGGTCTTCTGATCCAATGTGGTCTCAATATCTCGCAGCTTCTCCGCCACCTGACTCAAAACCGAGCCTTGTTCTGCGGATGGTCTACCCTGCTGCAGCTTTTCCTCCAGCAATCGTATACGGGACTGATAGCCCTCTCCAATGTCTGTCTTCAAGCTGTGCACTTCCTGCTGCAGGGCATCATTGTCCCTCATTTGCAGACTCACATATTCCTCCAATTGCTTGGCCTTCTCGCCCAGAACTTGTTCGTTGAGAGCCTTGGTTTGGACTTGGGTCTCCAGTTCCGAGATGATCTCGCGCAGCACAAAGATCTTGTCAATCGAGGCCTTCAGCTCCACCTCAAATTTATCCCGCTTGGCATTCGACTCGCTGAGTTGATGATTAACCTCTCTAAACTGTGCTTCCAGCTGTGCATACTGTATAAAAATATAAAAAATATATTAGTGGGGATCTTAAAAAATGAGTATGCATTTATGGAGCAATGTGATGAAAAGTGTGCGGGTGCGGATTTCCGGATTAGTGACAAACTTACATGCTTTCGCTTCGCTAACTTCAACTATTTTTTTGAGGGTGCACGCAGTGGGGAAAGGAAACAGGTGCAATTACAGGATTTTAATTTTAATTGCGGTTTGGTTTATTGGGTGCATGCAAAGAGTTACAAATATATTATTCAGTTTGATTAACACAAATAACATTGAGGGTTTGGGGGAGATCAAGATAGATACAGTTATTAAATAAATAAAAAAAAACCCAAGGATGAGATATAAATTATTTAAGACCTTTGACCAAAAAATTTTGCAGTTAAATACAAAATAATATAATTAGGTATGTATTAAATAAATAAAAAACACATCTTATTATTAAAAGACTTAAGAATTATTACCAAAAACCCATAAATGAAATAAAGAAAAACACAGTGGCAAAGTTCTCAATTATGCATACATTAATTTGAATGACATTAACTTAATTTTCAGTACTATTTGGAAACAATTGAAGGCTAGTTACATGCTTATAAATCACATTCAATATTTTGAAATAGTCCAAATCAGAACAAAGAAATCAATCTTTATTTTCCACTTATTAATTATTCACAGCATGTTGTAACAACACCTCATAGATCATTTTGAAACAAAGTGCATATATCAGGGCGACATTGAAATAATTCCCAACCCCCTAGAGATCTTCAACTTGAGGTGGTTTGGCTAAATGGAATCGTATTGAAAGACTCCGCCTCGCACACTCTTAAGTGGCTATATCTTGGGGTCTATAAATATGTCGGCAACATGCTTACAAAAGCTCTGGCATATATAGGTATACATGAATGGATGCTGCCCTTGACTCCGTTGAAAAGGCCCCCAGGGGGATTTACATTTAAATTACGCCGAACAGGTGCCCCATGCGAATTGGTAAACTCTTCGAGGAAATGACTTCAATGGCTTCCAGAATTTTGTGTTAATATTTGGTAAATGTGCGGAATTGTGTCAGTTAATAAAAAGGAAGGCCACATGCTGAGTGTACTTAAATATGTATATGCCTATAACCAATCTTATAACCAAAACTAAAGCTATTGAACAATAATATAACCAAATTATAGAAAGAATACAATCAGAGAGATATGAAAAGATAGAGGAAAAGACTTTGTGAACCCAGGCAAAAACGCAAAACGAAAGTCAAACCAAGACCAAAATCAAGATCAAGATCCCAGAGATCATAGATAGGAACCGTGGACGGGACTCACCTCCTCGGAGGCATTGGCATAGGAGCTGTGCTCCTTCTCTTTGTCGCGCAACTGAGCCTTCAGCCGCTCGATTTCGCGCTGGAACTCGTCGCGCTCTTGTTCGCGCTCGGCGGCCTGATCCTCCAGGAATCGCCTGGTATCCTTCAGCTGCTTGTCAGCGGTATCGATCTGTGTTTGTGTGTGGTGTTTGTGGTTATAGGTCAAAGGAGAGGGTATCGAAAGGGTGGTAATTTCATAAATAACCTGGCTTACAAACTACTCGAATTTATTTGGGTCATGCGTTTAGCACTCAAAGAAAAAAGGTGGGGGAAAACTCAAAAAGGAAAGATGATCTTTTGGAAGATCTTTGCTGAACTCACCTGGGACTGCAGATCCTCGCGATCCTTCTTGCCACACTCCACAACTTTGTCGCCTTCACGACAAAAATCTTCGATCATTTGCAACAAGGTGACGGTGGAATTTGCCTGATCCCTTGAAGGTGGCTCTTTCACAGGAGACGATGAGAGCAAATGACGCGCCCGCTCCTGGAGGGCAAGAAAACTGGCCGATGATTGATCCAATCCCTGTTCCTGCAGGCTCTTCATGGGCCCCAGGCCATAGCCCTCATTGTAGTCCGTGTGGTTAAGGGAATTAAGCTGGGAAAGCTGATCCCTGAGGGCCTGCAGCTCCTGCCCCAATTCTGCATTCCGATCAATGGTGTGACTCAATTGCTGTTGTAAATTCTGACGATCCGCTTCCGATTTAATCAGGCGATTCTTGAGCTGCACCAGCTGGAAGGATAGTTCCGAGGCATTGCCCGCATGCTGCTGAAGATCTGGAGGCAGCGAGGTATGTGTTTTTCCCGCCTCCGGATTGCTGTTCTTCCGCTGACTGGCCACGCCCATTTGCTGATCATTCAGGGAGTTTGTGCGCAGGAATTTGGTCAAGACTTGCTGCTGCACCGCTGCTGTGGTCTTCAGGCCATCCTCCGCCTCGCAGCAGAGCTCATGCTCCTGCTTTTCCGGCTCGTCCAGGTGCTCTGAGGACTCATCGTGTGGTCGCTGTTTATTCAAATCCTCTGACAAATGCAACAGATAGGAGGCTTCCGACTTTAAGCGCTCTAGGCAATCATTTAAATCGAAATCTTCACTTGGCTCTTCGTTGCTCTTGCTGTCGATAAACTGCACCAAACTGGGATCCTCCACAACTTCCAGCAGACTGTGCACATCCGGCACTCGGAGCATTTGCTTTGTGTTGTTCAGGGAGCCGCTGAGGGTGAGCTCCAGATCGTCACCCGCATCTTGGCTGCGGCTGTGGAACAGCAGACGTTGCACCTCCTCGGAGAGGGTGTTATTCAGATCCTCCTCACAGTTTGCCACACATTTGGCCAGCCGACAGATCACGCTGCGGAAACTCTTGGACAGCTCCCTCAATCCATCCCGTTCGCAGATCGCCTGCTCCAGGTCACGGGTTGCGTCGAAGGTCAGGTGACGCTTGTTCTTCCGATTCAGCTGCTTTTCGTATTCCAGTTTCATGCGCGACATCTGCGGGGGATGATACAAATTTAAGTTATAATATATTTCATTTTAGAAAGTAATTATATTTTGTAGAGGCAAAAACATAATTTAACTGTTATTACTAACAATTAAGTACCAAGTTTTTACTTTACAAGATAATTCAAATATTTTTGAAACGTAATACAATCCTTATCCATCGAGGAATAAACAAAATTTGTATGTTTTGTATAATTGATACCATCTATATCCAACGGGTAATAAATACAATCTTCATATTTTGGATTATACATACAATTGGATAAAGATCCATTGGGTACTAAATACAATCTCTATAAATTGGATACTCACCTCGTCGGCATGTTTAATATTCAGTTGAGTGATCTCCAGTTGACTCTTGGCCGTAAACTTCTCGCGCAGCAAGATCAGCTCCTTGGGCCAATGCTGATCATCCACAGTATTCTCCGACAACAAATTCTGAAAATGCAAATTGTTTACATGGGTTAAAAACTTTTGTTTATGGACAGTGTGTGAAAAGCTGTTGCAACATTCGGCTGCATATTGCATGGAAAATTCGGAGACAGATCAAGCTTTCGAATAAAACTTTACCCGCCTTTCACCAGAGTATAAATATTTATGGTTTCTAGTCAAAATATTTACATGATATAGATGGGAAATGATGTGGATCATCCAAAGTCGGAGATACATCCGAGAGTGTCGAGTCCCTTGAGGGTGGCAAAGACGGAAACCGAGCCAGATACATAAATCTTAATAAAAATCTTCCCCGCCCAAACGGAGAAAAAAGGGAGTGGATGGAGTTGGGGTTTATTTTTGGAAGAGACTTCACACCCTCACTCATGGAATAAACATAAAATCGCATTAAATTCAATTAAATATAGTTTCAAGATGACGATTTAAAAGCAATTCAATGAGCTATCATCATCGAGCTGTCTTATCTCTGTGGTTTTGCTCTACCTCTCCCAATCGTTCTCTCGATTTCTTACTAAAGGGTCGTGATCCCGGCAGATTGTGAGTTTTCTTTGTTTTCAATATTTTCCAATATTTACTTGGGGCTTTTGCGTAGGCAAACAGTGAGGTATAGATTTTCATAATGTTGATTAAATTGGATTGGAAAAATAAAATAAAAGCATTGAGGCATTGAATTTGTTAGTGGTCTTAAGGTTTTTCAGAAATCATAAGTGAGATTGGTCTTAAAGTCCGGAAACGCAGTTTAAAATACTTCCTGGATACATTCCCTTGTTTATTTGGAAATAACACGTATTGCCAGAGCTTTTCCCCACAATCATTGTGTAAGTAAAATTTGAATTTTATTTTCGTCACTTGCAATTCTACATTTCATGTGCACTCAACATATAGTATATATAGGACTACGTGTATTTCGTGCAATGCTACAATATATTTTTAGATCTTTGCATAACAAGACGCGGCAATAAATCTCCAAAC